AAAAAAGAAAAAACCCAAAAAGAAAATACATTCTCTATTCAACACCACCCCATCAAATTATATGCTTTTGCAGAGGTGCTCAGAATACAAAAAGTTTGAAGCTATACGTATAAGATAACAACATATCCCTCCAAATGCCCAATATCCCAAACCCCTTTAAAGGCAGGCTTGTATTCCCATTTCCAGGACTAAGTCCGACTTATGAAAATAAAGGTTTCCCCGAATCCCCTTTCCCAAATATTGCCCCTGTCACACTCCAACGATCATAGGTCCCAAATACCATTCGTTCCATTCACTCCTATCTAACACGTCATGCACGCTTTCGGGGAAATCCCCAAACCATTCGCCCCCAAACCTTTTTTACCCCCCTCTCCAACCCCTTTTGAGGACGACCCTACCTCGCCCTTCCTTCCCCCATAGATTTTTTGCTTTTCCTAACATTCTACTTTGATCCAATCTCTTAAATGACCAAACCACTTCAAAAACCCCTCTTCTGCCCTCTGACTAATATTTTTAAATTAACTCCACACCATTTCCAATTTCCACACTCGAATTTTCTGCATAATATTTACACCAACTTTGCCCTAGACAGGCATCTCCACTGCCCCAACCGCTCCTCGCGCTGCTTTACCACCCAAGCTTTACAAATATAAGTGTTTTTGGTACTACTAAACTTTCATACATCCCTTTTTTGCCTCCCTAGATAAATTTTTTTTGACTCCACATATACCCAATGCACCACCCCCTTTTTTTTTCCCTCATCAATTCTATGATTAAACCCTCATCCTTCATAATCCCTCCCCGACACCCCAATCCCAAAGTATCTGAAAACATTCACTTTTTTCTATACTCCTCCCCCCAATTTGTACCCAAATTTTTTCTTAATTAAATCTTTTTGATACCCTCATCTCTTTCCTTTTCATGTTCACTTTAAAAACTTTCTACCTTTACACACTTTCCCAAACTCACCCACTCACCTTTGCAATTTTTCTTTAGAATCTCCCCAAAGCACAGTATCACAGCAAAAACAACTGTGTCAATTTCATTTTGTTTTTGTTTCCCCCAAATTTAACCCCACCCCTTTCCAAACACCCGTGCATTTACAACCCATCTATAAATACTGTATATAAACAACCATGGTGACATTACACACCCCTTTTAAACCCTACTTTTACGGGGAAAGTGTCTCGTCTTTCTACACACCCTAACCTGAGCTTCCCTATCCCATGAAACTCTTTACGATTTAGCAACTTACCCCTATTCCATGAAATTGCACCATCACCACATTGCTCCCCTATCCACTACATATGCCTTTTCTAATTCCATAAATGCAAAAAAAAATTCCTTCCTTTTCTAAATACTGTTCACAAATATCTTTAATGTTAACACTTATCTACACATCCCCTACCCACTCTGAAAAAAACCTTGCTCATCCCGCAACCCAATTCTGTTTACCTCTAATTCTTTAAATTTAAACCCACCGTACACTTTTTTGGATAGTAGTAAACTTTTTCCCCTATAATTTTTACCATCTCTTTTGTCCCCTTTCCCCCTTTTTAATAAAGGGACATCATCTCTCGCCAACCCTAGGTACCTTCCCCTCTTTCTACATTTATTAAACAAAAATACCATCAATCCAAAACTATATCCCCACTGCTTTTAACATTTTTGTCATATCCCCCAGTCCAGCTGCTTTACCCCCCTTTCATTCTCTAATCCTCACGCACCTCCCCCACTCACATCCTGTTCTTCACGCCTAAAAGAGGTTACCTCCCTGACCAGTGCATGAATTACGCTTCCCTTTCCTTCGACATTTAAATTCCTCAAAATATTCTCGCCACTACCCAAAACCTCCAGCTCCCCCTTACTAACTCCCCTACCTGTTTTTAACTGACAAAACATTCATTCTCAAGGCTTTCTTAACTTGTTTTAAAACCCCCTCCAAAATTTTTTTTTTTTTTTTCATTAAAAATTTTTTGACAGGCCCCTTCCCCCTTTATCATCTGCTCTCCTTTTGCCTCTTCACCACTCTCTTCACCTTTTTTTTATTCTCCATATACTCTATCTTCTTTTAACACTTCTGCCCTTTTTAAAAACCCCTCAAAGCTAACTTTTTTTCTTTTTTCACACACTTTACTTTATCATTCCCCCAATCACTCCTTTTCCTCCCGCACCCACCTCCTATAACACAAACTTTGCCCCACTTTTTAATACTGCATTTTTAAAACTATTCCAAAACCCCTCAACCCCCCCCTCCATACTTGCACCAGCCCACCTTTCTGCCATAGTTCTTATACTACCCTAACTTTCCCCTCCCTTATTTATACACTTTCACTCCCTCTGCTTGTTGTTGCCATTTTCCCCCCCCCCCCCCCTTTCCCCCTACCCTTAAATCTAACTGTAGCTACAACTAAAAATTATGATCCGATATATCAGTTGCCCCTCTATATATAGGTAATGAAACCTAGGTAGTACGTTGGTAGACAGCAACCACCCAGGGAGGTACTACCGTCCTGCCAAGTGAGTGTAAAACAAAAGCCCTGTAACTGTTTACAAGATTGGTAGGATTGCTGGTGTCCTTTTTTCTGTCTCCATACACATGCAAATTTCAGGTACGTCTTGCTAATTTTACTTACAACTTAGGTCACACTACACAATCATGTATCAAGCATAAATATATAACACACACACCCCTCTGGATTTTCTGCTATTTCCTTTCTCTAGTTCTGTTCCTGTTTATTCCTCTTATTTTCCATGGGGAAGTTAAACAGAATTCTCCTCTGTAAGCCCATGCGTGTTGGTAAGAAGCGTCTAAAATGCCAGGAGCAAGGGGCTATTTACCCCATCTCTGTATAAATTACAAATTTAACCCTTTGAGTCGACAGGACGCCCTCATCCGAAACTCGTTCCAGGTCGGCCAAATTTAAAAAAAATAAAAAAATTATTTTCTCCATATAAAAAATAGAGAATCTTTTCCCGATCATAACACACCAAAAAAGTTTTTGAAATTTGATAGAAAACTTAACGGAATTATGCTCTCGCGCAAATTAGCGGGTCTCGGCGATGTTTACGAGATGCGGCGATTTTGCCACTTTGAGCCCCATTTTCGGCCAATTTCACTGTACAAGTCGACAAAAAACATGAATATTTCGCTAGAACCTCTCCATTTTTTTCCTATCGAATGGGGGCAAGAAACCATCCCATTTATAAATTCAACTATCCAGTACAGTGGTCAGAATTTAGCAATTTGCCAATTTCACCACAAATTTCAAAGAGCCAATTTTGGAATAGGGTCCAGAATAAACAAAAAGATATTCCTGGCACTAAAATGACATTTCCTCTAGTCATTAGTCACTCTCAAGGCCCCCTCTTATATTCTTTTGCTTTCCACTTTGAATTTGTATTCTCACAAAAAATATAAGATCTTACTAGTTTATGCAGACTCTGCATTAGTGTAAAAAATGTATAAATATTATTGGTGCACTGTGAAAGAATATTATGACCTCACCATTTGACGTGTATTGCACGCTTGGCAAACGATTTGTTTACTTTGGGAAGTTTGGTAAAAATCGAACATTTCTGCTACTTGAGGCTCCAAATTTCAAGCACTTTCATTTAAAACCATTCAAAAATCATCTCAATTCAGTAATATGTCTTCCATTCTATAAAATGAGACCAAGAAACAAGAATACAACAATAAATACTATACGAAAATACACTGCAAAGTCGCTGATTTATTAAAAAAAAATGGAAAAAGTTTTTTTTCTCATTATGCACCGTGTGCTGCAGATTTTTTTTAGACTGTGCACACTGACCACATAGACCCATTCTTTCATATGAAGGCCTACCAGCTTTCTCCCACTAGATTTGAGGTCGCTAGAATTTATGAGTACTAGTACGTCAAAAACCCCTACGCGTAAGACGTACTAGTACGACGAAAACCCTCAAAGGGTTAAAGAGAAACTTTTGTTTTTATTTTTGGGCCACCCTGCCTGGGTGGGATACGGCCGGTTTATTGAAAGAAGAAGAAAGTTAATGAAAAACTGGATATCAGATTGGAAGGTGGGAGTATGGAGGAAACTAATGTATTCAGATATTTGGGGGTGGACCTGTTGGCAAATGGGTCCATGAAAGACGAGATGAACCTTAGAATTGATGAAGGAAAATGGTGGATAGTGCACCGAGGCATCTGTTTTGACAAAACGTTATCCATGGAGACAACAAGGGTAATGTATGAGAATATATTGGTACTAACACTTATATGGGTATGAAGCATGGATTATTAATGTTGCATGAGGAGGCTAGAGGTAGCGGAGAAGTTGCGCCTGAGGGTAATGTGTGGTATAAATATTATGCAGAGAATTCATATTCATAGCTTAAAGATTAGGAGGTGCAGGGTTACTAAAAGTATTATCCAGAGGGCTGAGGAGGGGTTGTTGAGGTGGTTTGGACATTTGAAGAGGATGGAGAAAATTAAGATAACTTAGAGGATGTATAAATCTCCAATGGAGGGAAGGCTGGGTAGGGGGGTCACCCTAGGAAAGGTTGGAGGGAGGGGATAAAGGTTTTGTGTGTGTGTGGTGCTTTGACAAAGTGTGCATATGTGTTTGATAGGGGTGGAAACAAATGGTTTTTGGGATTTGAGCTGTTGGAGAATGAGCACAGTAACATTTGTGAAAGGATTCAGAGAAACTGGTTAGTTGGAGAGTCTTGGAGGTCTGAAGCATAATGCTTGCACTCTGAAGGAGGAATGGGGATATCTGCAGTTTGGAGGGGCATCTGAATTGTTACTTTCACTGCAATGTGCAGTGAAAGTAATCCCCTCCCACTTTCCCCATCTAAAGGCCAGTAATATACAGTAAAGAAGACTTATGTGCATAGTTCTACGCTTACCTACATGGAAAATATATGAAAAAAGATGTGTGTTATGCCATTACAATATTCCAACACTTCTTAGATAACCCCCCTTACAAATACTATACACACAATGCAATACTTACATCGACAATAGCAACGATTTCAAGATCAGGCATATTTTCTAATATAACTGGCAGAGTTATGGACACTGTATCTACAGCTAAATCCTGCAATGGAAAAATAATGGCACTCAATGTTTGTGTCAGATTTATAGACCTATATATATATTCTACACATCACCTTTTCGAAAAAATTTAAGGCTGAGCCACTAACTGTCATACAAGAGCCAAACTAAGAAATGAATAACATCAAAACTGATGGATGTTAATTTAAAAAAAAAAAAAAAAAAAAAAAAAAAAAAAAAAAAAAAAGGAGGGTTATCGCTCTCCCTGTAATTAATAAAATAGGCAAAGAAAACTGTTACATTTTCCTTTTTTGGGATTACTATAATTAGACAAGTTCAGCTAAAGAAAATAATTATAACAACAAATAAGACAGTGATAGTGTGAATTATGGTGATTTTTTTTTTTTAGGAGGGGAGGGGAGTCACCCTGATTTGGCAGGAGACAGCTAGCATGTTAAAAAAAAATGTAAGTAATAAATATTATAATACACCATACCTGGAGTTTTTTGAAGTGCACCAAAGAATCATTGATTTTTGAATTCCTTATCGACACAGATAGCCGTGTAATGTTTGTGCATTTTTTTCCAATATGTTCAAGTGCCTCCTGAGTGATCCTGCAGGAAAAATTAAAATAAAACCCTTAGAAATAATTAGCAAACATTATTTCCTATGTAAAACTAATGATTCATGATGGGCTTTAAAGTATGTATTTTTTTTTTTCAACAAGTCGGCATCTCGCACTGAGGCAGGGTGACCCAAAAAAGAAAGAAAATCCCCAAAAAGAAAATACTTTCATCATCATTCAACACTTTCACCACACTCACACATAATCACTGTTTTTGAAGGTGCTCAGAATACAACAGTTTAGAAGCATACACACATAAAGATACACAAATATCCCTCCAAACTGCCAATATTCCAAACCCCTCCTTTAAAGTGCAGGCATTGTACTGCCCATTTCCAGAACTCGAGTCCGACTATATGAAAATAACCGGTTTCCCTGAATCCCTTCACTAAATATTACCCTGCTCACACTCCGACAGATCGTCAGGTCCCAAGTACCATTCGTCTCCATTCACTCCTATCTAACACGCTCACGCACGCTTGCTGGAAGTCCAAGCCCTTCGCCCACAAAACCTCCTTTACCACCTCTCTCCAACTCTTTCGAGGACGACCCCTACCCCTCCTTCCTTCCCCTATAGATTTATATGCTTTCCATGTCATTCAACTTTGGATCCTTCTCTATAAATGACCAAACCACCTCAACAACACCCTCTTCTGCCCTCTGACTAATGCTTAATTAACTCCACACCTTTTCCTAATTTCCACACTCCGAATTGCTGCAACATTTACACCACACATTGCCCTTAGACTGGACATCTCCACTGCCGTCCAACTGTCCCTCCTGTGCATTTACCACCCAAGCATCACATCCGTATAAAGTGTTTGTACTACTATACTTTCAAACATTCCTTCTTTGCCTCCATAGATACGTTTTTTTGACTCCACATATACCTCAATGCAAACCACTCGCCTTTTTTTCCCTCATCAATTCTATATTAACCTCATCCTTTCATAAATCCATCGCTAACACTCAACTCCCAAGTATCTGAAAACATTCACTTCTTACATATTCCTGCTCCCCAATTTGATATCCAATTTTCTTTATCCTAAATCATTTGATACCCTATCAACCTACTCTTTTCTATGTTCACTTTCAACTTTCTACCTACTACACACATTCCCAAACTCATCCACTAACCTTTGGCAATTTTTCTTTAGAATCTCCCATAAGCACAGTATCATCAGCAAAAAGTAACTGACAATTCCCATTTTGAATTTGATTCCCCATATTTAATCCCACCCACCTCCCAACACCCTATCTTTTACTTCTTTTACAACCCCTCTATATATACTGTATATTAAACAACCATGGTGACCATTACACATCCCTGTCTAAGACCCACTTTTACCCGGGAAGGGTATTCTCCCTCACTTCTACACACCCTACACCTGAGCCTCACTATCCTCATAAAAACTCTTTACAGCATTTAGTAACATACCACCTATTCCATATACTGTACTGCAAACAATCTCCACATTGCTTCCTCTATCATATGCTTTTCTAAATCCATAAATGCAATAAAAACTTCCTCCCTACCTTTATCTAAATACTGTTCACATATATTTCTTCAATGTAAACACTTGATCTACACAACCCTACCCACTCTGAAACCTCCCTGCTCATAGGCAATCCTACATTCTGTCCTTACCTCTAATTCATTCAATTATAACCCTACCGTATACTTTCCTGGTTATAAACTCAGTAAACTTTAACTCGTATAATTTTTACAATCTCTTTGTCCCCTTTTCCCTTTATATAAAGGGACTATACATGCCTCTTCCAATCCCCTAGGTACCTCCCCTCTTTCCATTACATTATTAAACAAAGTACCAACCACTTCCAAACTATAATCCCCCCCTGCTTTTAACATTTCCTGTCCATGATCCCATCATTCCTGCTGCTTTACCCCCTTTCATTCTAACGTAAGCCTCACTACCTCCCCCACACTTACACTTCTGCTCTTCTTCAACATCCTAAAAGATGGTATACCTCCCTGGCCCATGCATGGAAATTACCGCCTCCCTTTCTTCCTCAACATTTAAAAAGTTCCCTCAAAATAATTCTCGCCATCTACCTAATACCTCCCTCTCCCCCATCTACTAAACTACCCCCTACTCTGTTTTAAACTGACAAATCCAATACTTTCCCTAGGCTTTCCTTAACTTGTTTAACTTCAAAAAATTTTCTGTTTTTCATTAAAATTTCTTGACATGCCTCTTCCCATTCTATCTCTGCTCTCCTTTTGCACTCTCTCCTCTCACCACTCTCTCTTCAGCTTTCTTTTTACTCTCCATATACTCTGCTCTACTTAATATAACACTCTGCCTTTTGTAAAAACCTCTCATAAGCTACCTTTTTCCTCTTTTATCACATCACACCCCCTTACTGTTATTAATCCACCAATCACTCCCATCCTCTCCCTCCTGCCCCCACCCCTCTATAACCACAAACTTCTGCCCCACATTCTAATACTGCACTTTTTAAACTATTCCATCCTCTTCAAAACCCTCACTACTCATCTTTGCACTAGCCAACCTTTCTGCCATAGTTCGCTCATATCCACCCAAACTTCCTCCTCCCTTAGTTTTATACACTTTCCCACCTCCCTCTTACTTGTTGTTGCCACCTTCCTTTTTTCCCATCTACCTCTTACTCTAACTGTAGCTATAACTAAATAATGATCCGATATATCAGTTGCCCCTCTAAAAACGTGTACATCCTGGAGCCTACCCATCAACCTTTTATCCACCTATACATAATCTAACAAACTACTTTCATTAACGTGCTACATCATACCTTGTATATTTATTTATCCTCTTTTTCATAAAATATGTATTACTTATTACCAAATCTCTTTTTACACATAGCTCAATTAAAGGCTCCCCCTTTACATTTACCCCTGGCACCCCAAATTTTACCTACTATCAATCTGAACATTTTTACCCACTTTAGCATTGAATCCCCAACCACCATTACTCTCACACTTGATTCAAACTCCCCACGCATTCACTCAACATTCCCAGAATCTCTCTCTCCTCTCTACACTTCTCTCTCTCCAGGTGCCCTACATGCTTACTATAAACCCCCTTTTCACATCCAATCTTTATTTTACTCCACATAAAAACCCTTTAATTAATACATTTGTAAATCCCACTTTTCCTGCCATAGCTTATCCTTCAACATTATTGCTACTCCTTCTTTAGCTCTAACTCTATTTGAAACCCCTGACCTAATCCCATTTATTCCTCTCCATTGAAACTCTCCTACCCCCTTCAGCTTTGTTTCACTTAAAGCCAGGACATCCGGCTTCTTCTCGTTCATAACATCCACAATCATCTCTTTCTTATCATTTGCACAACATCCACGCACATTCAGAACTTCCCACTTCGACAATTTTCTTCTTCTTTTTCTTTTTAGTAATCTTTACAGGAGAAGGGGTTACTAGCCCATTATTCCCGGCTTTTAGTTGACTTTTACAACACCAAAGGCTTACGGAGGAAAGGTTCTTATTCCACTTCCCCATGGATATAAAAGGAAAAGTAATAAGACCAAGAACTATTAAGAGAAAATCAAAGAAAACTCAGACGAGTGTGTATAAATAAACTTGTACATGTATGTGTAGTGTGACCTAAGTGTAAGTAGAAGTAGCAAGACATGCCTGTAATCTTGCATATTTATGAGACAGACAAAAGACACCAGCAATCCTACCATCATGTAAAACAATTACAGGCTTTCGTTTTACACTCACTTGACAGGACGGTAGTACCTCCCTGGGTGGTTGCTGTCTACCAACCTACCAACAGTACATTTAATGTATTGTGCTCTTCTTGCTTAATATATTTATAAATGCAGCCTTCTTTTTACTTACTGTACAACTTTCCTCCAAATGTATATTACCCCTCAAACACTCAAATTAGTTACTTAACCATCTAATACGGAAATCAATATCCATCTTAATGGAGGACCTCTCATCAAATTTTGCACTTTTGGCATCATTACCTTCAGAAAAAGATTCTCTACCATTTCATTTTGGGGAGGGGGGGAGAGGGGGAGATGTTGGACACAAAGAGCAAGTTTCATTTCGGGCTAATACAGACAAGTATTTCTTCCTTCCATTTACTCCAAATAATTGTTTTACTTTATAGATCCCATCTTTGTTTTAATTTCAAAAAAAGACAACCATTTTTATATATCTTTCTATAGTTTGTTCACTAGTTTTTGCATTTATCAATCAATCACATTTGGTTTGCACTATGTCTTATTTCCTAATTTGCATTTTGAAACAATCTGGTGTCAACTTAAAAATACCTTGGTTAAACTTTATTCTGAAAAATTTTTGCTCAAAAGTAACTTTTTCTCAAATCTAATCTCTCCCTTCCTTTACCTAGTTGACCAGGCTGCTGCTACCTAGAGGGTGTTCTGGGGGTCAATGCCCCCCACGCTCCACTCCATGACAAGGTTGTCCGATTCAACGGTTCTCTTAAATTCTCCATTGTATCTCTCACTATTACCCATTTTTTATTTCATAAATTTATACCCTTTCAACCTCCTTATTCACTCAATATTTAAAATCCGTTTTCCTTACTCAAAGAAATTAAAAAACAATAATACAAAGTGATTCAAAACTTCGTTTTTCTCCCACCAAGGGACTTGGTGGACTTGAGTCCTGGAAATGGGAAGTACAATGCCTGCACTTTAAAGGAGGGGTTTGGGATATTGGCAGTTTGGAGGGATATGTTGTGTATCTCTATACGTATATGCTTCTAAGCTGTTATATTCTGAGCACCTCTGCAAAAGCAGTGATAATGTGTGAGTGTGGTGAAAGTGTTGAATGATGATGAAAGTATTTTCTTTTTGGGGATTTTCTTTCTTTTTTTTTGGGTCACCCTGCCTCGGTGGGAGACGACCGACTTGTTGAGAAAAAAAAAAAAAAAAAAAAACATTCACAATCACTCATTCAATAACTTCTGGCAAGACAGTTACTGAATGAGTGAGGTTGAATGTTTCCTCTTTTAGGATCATCCTACATTAGTGGGACAGGGTTAGTGTCAAAAAAATTCTCAATATTAAAGATCAAAATAACTTACACACAATTGTCCATCTCAAGTATGGACATGTTTGGGCACCGTTCACCAATTTTCCTGATATATGATGGAGTAATACTTGGACAGTTGGATATAACAAGTTTCTGAAATAAAAAATATGTAAATAGAATTTTTATAAATATCAATAAAAAAGCAACCATTCAAAAAAAATATAATCCAAAATAATTTTAACTGTTTTCCAATCATTCTAAAACACTTTTCATATCATGGGAAAATGGGTTGCAATCACATTTGGTCCAAGAGAGAGTAGCTACAATTTTTTGGATTAAGTGTCATTAGCTAACATTGAGAGAGCCCTCTTCAAGGGTTGAAATCCCATAAAATTAATTATAGATAAGCGCAAAATAAACAAGACTTATCAGAAGCTTTGAGACGAGGCCAATGAGCCAGGATCTTTACTAAACTGTTAGGTCAAAGGCCTTAGCGAGTCCATTTTTTTAACACAGGCTGCCTCCCACTGAGGCAGGGTAAACCAAAACACAAGAAAATTTCACGATCACTCCCTATCACTGTCTTGCCAGAGGCATGCTGACATTACTGCTCAAATATCCTCTCCAAACTATAATATACTCACACAACCTTCATAGTGCAGGCAGTGTACTTCCCACCTCCAGGACTCGAATCTAATTAACCAGTTTTCCTGCATCCCCTCACAAAATGTTACCTTGCTCACACTCCATGTTATTAGCAGCCATGTTTAGAGGCAAGCTTCAGACTCACCTTTATAAATCACTTATTTCTTGCTGTTCAGCAACATGATTAAAGAGCAGTCAAAGGGCAAGTGAATAATTTTTTTTTTTTTATTATCACACTGGCCGATTCCCACCAAGGCAGGGTCGCCCGAAAAAGAAAAACTTTCACCATCATTCATTCCATCACTGTCTTGCCAGAAGGGTGCTTTACACTACAGTTTTTAAACTGCAACATTAACACCCCTCCTTCAGAGTGCAGGCACTGTACTTCCCATCTCCAGGACTCAAGTCCGGCCTGCCGGTTTCCCTGAACCCCTTCATAAATGTTACTTTGCTCACACTCCAACAGCACGTCAAGTATTAAAAACCATTTGTCTCCATTCACTCCTATCAAACACGCTCACGCATGCCTGCTGGAAGTCCAAGCCCCTTGCACACAAAACCTCATTTACCCCCTCCCTCCAACCTTTCCTAGGCCGACCCCTACCCCGCCTTCCTTCCACTACAGACTGATACACTCTTGAAGTCATTCTGTTTTGCTCCATTCTCTCTACATGTCCAAACCACCTCAACAACCCTTCCTCAGCCCTCTGGACAACAGTTTTGGTAATCCCGCACCTCCTCCTAACTTCCAAACTACGAGTTCTCTGCATTATATTCACACCACACATTGCCCTCAGACATGACATCTCCACTTCCTCCAGCCTTCTCCTCGCTGCAACATTCATCACCCATGCTTCACACCCATACAAGAGCGTTGCTAATGCTATACTCTCATACATTCCCCTCTTTGCCTCCAAGGACAAAGTTCTTTATCTCCACAGACTCCTAAGTGCACCACTCACCCTTTTCCCCTCATCAATTCTATGATTCACCTCATCTTTCATAGACCCATCTGCTGACACGTCCACTCCCAAATATCTGAATACATTCACCTCCTCCATACTCTCTCCCTCCAATCTGATATCCAATCTTTCATCACCTAATCTTTTTGTTATCCTAATAACCTTACTCTTTCCTGTATTCACTTTTAATTTCTTCTTTTGCACACCCTAACCAAATTCATCCACCAACCTCTGCAACTTCTCTTCAGAATCTCCCAAGAGCAGTGTCATCAGCAAAGAGCAACTGTGACAACTCCCACTTTATGTGGATTCTTTATCTTTTAACTCACGCCTCTTGCCAAGACCCTCGCATTTACTTCTCTTACAACCCCATCTATAAATATATTAAACAACCACAGTGACATCACACATCCTTGTCTACAGCCTACTTTTACTGGGAAATAATTTCCCTCTTTCCTACATACTCTAACTTGAGCCTCACTATCCTCGTAAAAACTCTTCACTGCTTTCAGTAACCTACCTCCTACACCATACACCTGCAACATCTGCCACATTGCCCCCCCTATCCACCCTGTCATACGCCTTTTCCAAATCCATAAATGCCACAAAGACCTCTTTAGCCTTATCTAAATACTGTTCACTTATGTTTCACTGTAAACACCTGGTCCACACCCCCCCTACCTTTCCTAAAGCCTCCTTGTTCATCTATCCTATTCTCCGTCTTACTCTTAATTCTTTCAATAATAGTTCTACCATACACTTTACACCAGGTATACTCAACAGACTTATCCCCCTATAATTTTTGCACTCTCTTTTGTCCCCCTTTGCTTTATACAAAGGAACTATGCATGCTCTCTGCCAATCCCTAGGTACCTTACCCTCTTGCACCAACCACTCCAAAACTATATCCCCACCTGCTTTTAACATTTCTATCTTTATCCCATCAATCCCGGCTGCCTTACCCCCTTTCATTTTACCTACTGCCTCACGAACTTCCCCCACACTCACAACTGGCTCTTCCTCACTCCTACAAGATGTTATTCCTCCTTGCCCTATACACGAAATCACAGCTTCCCTATCTTCATCAACATTTAACAATTCCTCAAAATATTCCCTCCATCTTCCCAATAACCTCTAACTCTCCATTTAATAACTCTCCTCTCCTATTTTTAACTGACAAATCCATTTGTTCTCTAGGCTTCCTTAACTTGTTAATCTCACTCCAAAACTTTTTCTTATTTTCAACAATATTTGTTGATAACATCTCACCCACTCTCTCATTTGCTCTCTTTTTACATTGCTTCACCACTCTCTTAACCTCTCTTTTTCTCCATATAATCTTCCCTCCTTGCATCACTTCTACTTTGTAAAAACTTCTCATATGCTAACTTTTTCTCCCTTACTACTCTCTTTACATCATCAATCCACCAATCGCTCCTCTTCCCTCCCGCACCCACTTTCCTGTAACCACAAACTTCTGCTGACCACTAACACTACATTTTTAAACCTACCCCATACCTCTTCGACCCCATTGCCTATGCTCTCATTAGCCCATCTATCCTCCAATAGCTGTTTATATCTTTCCCTAACTGCCTCCTCTTTTAGTTTATAAACCTTCACCTCTCTCTTCCCTGATGCTTCTATTCTCCTTGTATCCCATCTACCTTTTACTCTCAGTGTAGCTACAACTAGAAAGTGATCTGATATATCTGTGGCCCCTCTATAAACATGTACATCCTGAAGTCTACTCAACAGTCTTTTAATCTACCAATACATAATCCAACAAACTACTCTCATTTCGCCCTACATCATATCTTGTATACTTATTTATCCTCTTTTTCTTAAAATATGTATTTCCTATAACTAAACCCCTTTCTATACAAGTTCAATCAAAGGGCTCCCATTATCATTTACACCTGGACCCCAAACTTACCTACCACACCCTCTCTAAAAGTTTCTCCTACTTTACCATTCAGGTCCCCTACCACAATTACTCTCTCACTTGGTTCAAAGGCTCCTATACATTCACTTAACATCTCCCAAAATCTCTCTCTCCTCTGCATTCCTCTCTTCTCCAGGTGCATACAAGCTTATTATGACCCACTTCTCGCATCCAACCTTTACTTTAATCCACTTAATTCTTGAATTTAACACATTCATATTCTCTTTTCTCCTTCCATAACTGATCATTCAACATTACTACTACCCCTTCCTTTGCTCTAACTCTCTCAGATACTCCAGATTTAATCCCATTTATTTCCCCCCACCAAAACTTCCCTACCCCCTTCAACTTTGTTTCGCTTAGGGCCAGGACATCCAACTTCTTTTCATTTATAACATCAGCAATCATCTGTTTCTTGTCATCCGCACTACATCCACGCACATTCAAGCATCCCAGTTTTATAAAGTTTTTCTTCTTCTCTTTTTTAGTAAATGTCTACAAGAGAAGGGGTTACTAGCCCATTGCTCCCGGCATTTTAGTCGCCTCATACGACACGCATGGCTTACGGAGGAAAGATTCTTTTCCACTTCCCCATGGACAATAGAAGGAATAAAAAAGAACAAGAACTATTTAGAAAAAGAAGAAAAACCTAGATGTATGTATATATATATATATATATATGCATGTGCATGTCTGTGAAGTGTGACCAAAGTGTAAGTAGGAGTAGCAAGATATCCCTGTTATCTAGCGTGTTTATGAGACAGAAAAAGAATAATTATAATAATTATAAAACAAAAATACAACAAACACTAAGGACTGAACAGGAAGAGAGAAAATTACCTAAAATGCTGAAGCAATGTATTGTACTTGTCAGGCAATAAGTCAGCTTGACTTAACCAAGTTTTTTATAAAATGAAGTCATATCATATTACACATTCCACCTGTGTTTTAACGTATGCTGCCTGCCAACAGCTTTACATTTCTGTCCAAATACCTGAAGGCAATTTTACACACAATTTTATATATATTATATAATGAGGTTGTAATGCATGTAACCTGAAGGTTCCTCTTGTAATACTGCAAAATTTTGACCCTACATGCATCTGACGTCACTTACCTATTATCCCTTAATTTTATTCCTTCACATCAATCGTCTTCCATTCTTAGAAGATAAATCGTAATTGTCACACATTTTATTCTACATTTGTTATTTTCACAACATTAATTTATTTCTCTACTCTCCATTATACCCCTAATGGATGGCAGAACCTGTCAGTAAATACAGTATAAGACATTATATACAAAGAAAACCCTTAGTCAACATTTCACTAAGTAGTGCTTCAGCAAGTCAACTGATTCAATGAAGTTCTACCATTTTTTATTCCTTACTTTATTACCCATAATTTCATAGTCCTTCTTTTTTTTCTTACCCTTTAGCTTTCCTTAGTAAAAAGTTATACTACTAATTCATAGCTTTCATTAAAGATTTAGAAATCCAAGATACTGGTGGTACAAACCTGTAGGGTAACAGGAAGATCATTGAAACACTGGCCAGTAACTGGACACCCAGATATGTCGAGTTGTTCTAGTTGTGGGTAACTATGAAAGAGTTCTTGCAATGCCTTCTCATCAAAATCTGGGCATTTCTGGAAAATATTGCATTACAAAATTAATAAACACACTGCAATGTAATTAAGATGCAGTTAGTGCTGTGTTATTACCGAGATGTACATTTTTAATCCCTAAGACATTTCTATATCTTCTTCCCATGTCAAACTGCTAGTCGAGTAAATTTCATTAAAAATTACTGTACTCTAAAACAAATTCAATAAACAGAAACTTCAATATTAAGATACTATAGTTCAAAAAATTAGAAATTGGGTTGCTCAACTGAAATTTAAAAATAAAAAAAAAAAAACTATTTAAACAATTTCATTGAAACTATGTATATTTTGAATATTCAGTTACAACTGCCCTAAATAAAAAATGAAAATTAAAAAAAAATTAATGAAAAACTTGAAATTTCTTTTGTCTGACAAGTTACAAAAATGTGAGGAAAGAGATGTACTGGGGAGAGTATTGTCTGGTAACATTACATTGACTCATTCATAAGGTGAGATACAGAATGACATTCTTGTTTTTCAGATTTTATTATTAGAGTCAAAGTATGACAAGCTCAAATTTGCCACACTTTTATGACCAATTTGCCATTTGTGGTGATTGGTGCAGGGTTGCTACCCTGGGTCTATACAGTGTTGGCAAGAGGTATGGAGTTGAAAGATAAATAATCTAACACTAAGTGGGAGTTTCCTCAGTTGCTCTTTGCTGATGATACTGTGCTTTTGAGAGATTCTGAAGAGAAGTTGCAGAGGTTGGTGGATGATTTTGGTAGGGTATGTAAAAGAAGAAAATTAAAAGTGAATATAGGAAAGAGTAAGTTGATGAGGGTAACAAAAATTAGGTAACGAAATATTGGATATCAGATTGGAGAGAGAGAGAGTATGGAGGAGGTGAATGTATTCAGATATTTAGGAGTGGACATGTCAGCAGATGGGTCTATGAAAGATGAGGTGAATCATAGAAATGACGAGGAAAAAAAAGGCAAGTGGTGCACTGAGGAGCCTCTGGAAACAGAGTCCATAGAAACAGAAGGGAATGTACGAGAGTATAGTCATACCAATGCTCTTATATGGGTGCAATGTATGGGTGGTGAATACTGCAACAAAGAGAAGGCTGTGAGGGAGTGGAGATGTTATGTCTGAGGGCAACATGAATGCAGAGAATTCGTAGTTTGGAAATTAGGAGGTGTGAGATTACTGAAACTATTATCCAGAGGGCTGATGAGGGATTGTTGAGGTGGTTCAGACATGTAGAGAGGATGCAACAAAATAGAAAGACTTCGAGTGTGTATAACTCTCCAGTGGAGGGAAGGCAGGGCAGAGGTCAACCTAGAAAAGGTTGGAGGGGGTAAAGGAGGTTTTGTGTGCGAGGGCTTGGTCTTCCAGCAAGCATGCGTGAGTGTATTAGACAGAAGCGAATGGAGATAAATGGTTTTTAGGACTTGATGTGGTGTTGAAGTGTGAGCAGAGTAATATTTATGAAGGGATTCAGGGAAACCAGCAGACCAGACTAGAGCTCTGGATAAGGGAAGTACAGTGCCTGCAGTCTGAAGGAGGGGTGTTAATGTTGCAGTTTATAACTGTAGTGCAAGTGCACCTCTGGTAAGAGTGATGGAGTGAATGATGGCGAAAGTTTTTCTTTTTCGGGCCACTCTACCTTGGTGGGAAATGGTCGACGTGTTAAAAAAAAAAAAAATCAATTAATGTATTCAGATACTTGGGAGCAGACATGTAAAAAGGGGGATGTGTTGAGGTATCTACAGAGGCAAAAAAAGAAATGTAACAACACTTTTTATGGGTGCAAGACATTGGATTTAAACACTGCAGCAATAACAAGGCTAGAGGAAGTAGAGATGTAATGTTTGAGAATGTATGATGAGAATACAATGCAAAACATTAAGATAGGAGATTCAAAGATATGTGAAGTTACCAAAAGAATAATTCAGAGGACTGAGAAGGGTTGTTGAGGTGGTTTGGGTATTTAGAGAGGATGGAGTGGAATAGAATGAGTGATGGTATATACATCTAGAGGGAGAGGGAAGGGTTAAGGAAATGATTAGTTTCAAGTACTTGGGGTTTGAATATCCAACAGGCTTGTATGAGTGCATTAGAGTGGAGAAGAGAGAGAACTGGATTTTATGGCTTTAAGTGCTGTTGGTGTGACCAACGTAACATTTATGAAGGAGTTAAGGGAAAATTGCCAAAATGGACTTGGGTTTTGGAAGTTTAAGTACAGCACCCGCACTAAAGGAAGGGTGGGATACTGCAATTCAGTCATCTGAATTCTCATGTCAGTGCACTTCTGGCAAAACAGCAATTAAGTGAATGATAGTAAATGTGTTTCCCCTTTTTTGAGGGCTCAGCCCCATCTTGGTGGGAGATGGCTGATGCATAAAAAAAAAAAAAAAAAAAAAAAAAAAAAGTCAATGACATATGCCCAGATTGTGTGTGCAAATGAGACAGTTTGTATTTTGGAAGAGGTAAGTGACACTTGAAAAGTTTGTGTACATTATATAGAATCACTGAATAATCCAAGGTAAAGAGTGCTTAGAGCTAAGTAATATTATAGCAAGTTAAACTGAGGCTTACATGTATTTACACTCTTATATACATGTCTTACAAATTAGACCTAAAAACTGCCCGACATTAAATTATACTAAAAAACTTAGGACGAACCTTGGCAATGAAGCTTGTCAGATTTTTACAGTTAGCTTTAAGTGCACCAATGTTGTGGAAGTTAACACCATAAGCTTGTGTAACATCAAGGCACTGAAGTGCAGGACATAACTGACCTGTGAATACGGAATAATTAAAACATTCTTAAAGAATGAGGTGCAGGAGTACCCAAAGGCTATTATTTTATTAATAATGAAGAATTTAACCTTTAGGAATTATATAGCATCTGGCAAATGGGAGGTAATCAGGTTTGATAGTTAAATCAAGAGTCTCTCACCAACATAGGTAATCCCCTTCAAGGGAGATTCCTCACAAATGCATTAACACTCACTGCTAAGAAATAATATTCATACAGCACTAATATAATACATACTTTATGGGTATACCTCAATTTTTATCCTCTTTCACTATCATGTTCAAGTCTGTCCTATTTAAGTACTTTTGTATAATGATAACATTCATAAATGCTGTTGACAATGGCATAAGAAATTCAGTCTTTGAATGAAATCTTGTTCACTTTCCCAGGTCATCTCTCGTATTAGTTTTGCTAAAAATTTTATCAGCATATACAAGTAAATTTTCTTAAACCTTAAACTGTCTCTCCTATAAATTTATAAAATTTATAAAAGGGACTTTACTGTGTCTCCTGTAAATTTATGCATAACTTTTGTGTTTTCCAATTCAATCCCTGCTGACATTTAATGCCTCAGCTGAAGTGTCTGGGTGTCTTATCACCTTGTCACGCCTAGAAAAAAGGTAGGGCCAGGCAGGTCCTCACAGTCCTTCATGAGTAATGATGACCCAGGGTTCATGTCAACAATACATGACATACTACTCTTCATCTCTAAGTGAATAAGTGTTTTTATTTAGGCATGTGTACCAAGTACATATTTCGTTTTTTACAATGGTCTTGAGGGCACACAAATGTTATGAAAACAAAAAGTAAATTACGAAGTATGTATATGGTCAATTTACTTATTTCCATGTTTCCAAGGGACTCTCACCCTGAACCAGTTGTAATATCATAAGATTCCCTTATACAAAATGTTTTGAGAACACACATCAAGGGCACATAAGCACATTACACACATAAGCACATTACGAAGTACTTTATGTATATTTTTCAGCCAGGATAACCAAAGAAAATCACAGATTTATATCCATGTTTACCAGTATGTCACACCCTGAATCAACTGTATTATCATCAGATTTCTTTATATGTAGTGTTAAAGACAACAGCTTTCAAAATAAGAAAAACAACCCTGTATGAATATTAAGTCTGTTAATGCACCACCCAACTCTCCCCCTCCCTCATCAATTCTATGGTTTATCTCTTCTTTCACAGACCTGTCTGCCAACAAGTCCATGCCCAAATCTCTGAACACATTCACTCTCCGTACTCCCTTCTTCTAATCTGATATCCAATTGTTCATTATCTAAATGTATTATCCTGCTGCTCATTATTTTTTTACTTTTAATTCCTCTTTTACATACCCTCCCAAATTTGTTCTACAACCTTTGCAATGCCTCTTCAGAATCTCCCAAATGCCGCCTGTCATTAGCAAAAAGCAACTGACAACTCCTAGTTTGCATTTGATTCAATATCCTTTAATCCTACACCTCTCCCCAATGCCTTAGCATCCACCACTTTAATAACCCCCCTCTATAAAGATGTTAAACAATTAAAGTGATATCACAAATCCCTGTCGAATGCCTACTTTTACTGGAAAATACTATCCCTTTCTCCTAAATATCTTAGAGTGAGCCTCACTATCCTCAAAAACTTTTAAATGCTTTCAGTAACCTTCCACTGTATTCCATACACTTGCAACATCTTTCAAAATACAAATTATGCCACCCTTAGTGGTACAAATACAAAACAGCTAAAAAAAACTCAGGAATGAAACAAAAAAATTATTTAAAACATGCAAAAGAAGGGCTCTACAGCCTGTCACTCACAGGTTAGGTGTGACTACAAGCTCAAGTTCATCATCCCCACAAAACTCAGAGGCAAATACATTAAAGCACAGCACTTTTATTCTAATAAATGAAACAACTAAATATACTACTAAAACGAGAAATTATAAAAAGATTTTAATTACAAAGAAATAAATCAGATGCCTATTAGTACAAAGAAATGTAGTGCAGTACAGTACTCAACTGACTTCTTAATAGCTAACATAATATGCTTACCTATTATTTTCAAGACGTGTCGTTTACTGCAGAAATCCACACTCTGCACCTTAAGTGATTTCAGAGTAAGGCCAGCAAGAATGAGCAGTTTACCAAGAATGGGACTTGTTATTGGTCCATACAGCCCTAATTTCTCTGGTGCTATTTCCAATGAACTCATTTTTGTAAACATCCCATGAACCAACATCTGCCACCGTCGACACACTGTTAAATAAAATAAAACTAAATTAAAATAATGCCACTAATCTTATGTGAATAATTATAAGAATACAGAATCAGTGCTACACACAAAAATTATTAGACTAATATATTTAAAATTCTACATTACTCCGTGAAGATTTTCAATACAGCTGTGGAAATTAAAAGAAGTATCTTCACCTGATGACAAAGGAAACCAGTTTTTTAAAACCCAATATTAAATTAGCTTCTAGATTTGAGTAATCACTAATTAGTACACACAAAAAAGTGAAAGATGCACAGGGTTTGTCTACCAAGCTTGACAAAATGTATCAATGTAGTATAGGCACATCCTCACTTGAATATGAAATCATAATCATGTTCCTATGTTCATATGAAATCATAAGACACTAGGCACGTGAAACAATTATTACATATTACAATCAAAACTAAGCACTAAACCCACAAGGTCATACAGTGCTGCAGGGTGGAATGTGCTAAAGAAGAAATTTACAAAGATCAGAGATCAATGAGGGTTAGGAGTATGCAAGAGGCAGAATTAGCAAGGCTGGTGGGAGCACTAAAGGGAAACTATGATAAGTTGGTGTAATAAAGCAGTCGCTGACGAAGTCGAAGACAGAGTCTTTGTCAAAGGTGGGGTTGTCAGCGAGGTCAGATAAAGCGAGTTAGGGCAGTGACATCGGAAGCAAATTGTGTGCTCTTACTGACAGACAGGACAGTTTATTAAGAGATGGCGAGCTGACAACAGAACTTGAGATTCTCACAGAGTAGTGCTGAGAATTTTTCCACAAGATACCCAAAAGTAATATGCACGTGTCTGATATATAGGCCAGAGTAGCCTTGCAAAAGTGAGTGATGTTAAGACAATCAGAAACCCAAACAAGTTTGACAGCATGCAATTTATTATTTATGGATGCCAGGAAAAGCAGAAGGCTAGAGTAGAGTGGGCTCACTACATCAGTTCGCCTCAGGATCCCCCAGTTCATTTCTTGGGACACTAACATGACCCGAGCAGCAACAAAACTCCACCTGACTGTGCTGTATGTGGACACACACTACCTACTTCTGAATTTCTAGACCACAGGGTGGACAGAATACCAGGCCAGAAAACATTCTTCAGTACCACAACCAGGCTCATAACAAATGTATGGGAAAACATACATGAAACAGCATAAGAATACTTCTCTAACTATTTCACAAGAGCAATTTACCTCTCTGAGGTAGTAGGTTGGTAGACAGCAACCACCCAGGGAGGTATTACCATCCTGCCAGGTGACTGTGAAACAGAAACGTGTAACTGTTTTACATGATGGTAGGATTGCTGGTCTCTCTTTTCTGACTCAAACACACTGGATAATGGGTATATCTTGCTACTTACTTACACTTAGGTCACACTACACAGGCATGCACATGCATATATATATACATACACACATCTAGGGTTTTTCTTCTTTTTCTTAATAGCTCTTATTTTTTTTTTTCCTCTATTGTCCATGGGGAAGTGGAAAAGAATCTTTCCTCCATAAGCCATAAGTGTCGTATGAGGCGACTAAACTACTGGGAGCAATGGGCTAGTAACCCCTTCCCCTGTACACATTTACTAAAAATGAGAAGAAAATCTTTATAAAACTGGGATGCTTGAATGTGCATGGGTGTAGTGCAGAGGGTGAGAGAGATGATTGCTGATGTTATGAATGAAAAGAAGTTGGAAGTCCTGGCCCTAAGTGAAACAAAGCTGAAGGGGGTAGGCAAGTTTCAGTGGGGAGAAATAAATGGGATTAAGGCAGGAGTATCAGAGAGTTAGAGCTAAGGAAGGGATAGCAATAATGTTGAAGGATCAGTTATGGAAGGAGAAGAGGGAATATAAATGTGTAAATTCAAGGATTATATGGATTAAAATAAGGGTTGGATGTGAAAAGTGGGTCATAATAAGCATGTATGCACCTGGAGAAGAAAGTGTAAAGGAGAGAGAGAGAGATTTTGGGAGATGTTAAGTGAATGTATAGGAACCTTTGAACCAAGTGAGAGTAATTGTGATAGGGAACCTAATTGCTAAAGTAGGACAAACATTTTGAGGGTGTGGTAGGGAAGTCTGGGGTGCCAGGTGCAAATGAAAATGGGAGCCCTTTGATTAAACTTTGTATAGAAAGGGGTTTAGTTATAGGTAATACATATTTTAAGAAAAAGAGGATAAATAAGTATACAAGATATGATGTAGGGCAAAATGACAGTAATTTGTTGGACTATGCATTGGTAGATAAAAGACTGTTGAGCAGACTTCAGGATGTACATGTTTAGAGGGGCCATAGATATATCAGATCACTTTTTAGTTGTAGCTACACTGAGAATAAAAGGTAGATGGGATACAAGGAAAATAGAAGCAGAAAGTAAGAGAGAGGCGAAAGATGTATAAACTAAAAGAGGAGGCAGTTAGGGTAAGATGTAAACAACTATTGGAGGATAGATGGGCTAGTGTGAGTATAGGCAATGGGATAGAAGATGTATGGGGTAGGTTTAAGAAAGTAGTGTTAGTGTGTTCAGCAGAAGTGTGTGGTTACAGGAAAGTGGGTGCGGGAGGGAAGAAGAGCGATTGGTGGAATGATGATGCAGAGAGAGCAGTAAGGGAGAAAAAGTTAGCATATGAGAGGTTTTTACAAAGTAAAAGTGATGCAAGGAGGGAAGAGCATATGGAGAGAAAAGGAGAGGTTAAGAGAGTGGTGAAGCAATGTAAAAAGAGAGCAAATGAGAGAGAGGGCGAGATGTTATCAACAAATTTTGTTGAAAATAAGAAAAAGTTTTGGAGCGAGATAAATAAGTTGAGGAAGCCTAGGGAACAAATGGATTTGACAGTTAAAAATAGGAGAGGAGAGTTATTAAATAGAGAGCTAGAGGTATTGGGAAGATGGAGGGATTATTTTGAGGAACTGTTAAATGTTGATGAAGATGGGGAAGCTCTGGTTTTGTGCATAGGGCAAGGAGGAATAACATCTTGTAGGAGTGAGGAAGAGCCAGTTGTGAGTGTGGGGAAAGTTCGTGAGGCGGTGGGTAGAATGAAAGGGGATAAGACAGCTGGGATTGATGGGATAAAGATAGAAATGTTAAAAGCAGGTGGGGATATAGTTTTGGAGTGGCTGATGCTATTATTTAATAAATGTATGGAAGAGGGTAAGGTACCTAGGGATTGGCAGAGAACATGTATAGTTCCTTTGTATAAAGGTAAAGGGGATAAAAGTGTGCAAAAATTATAGGGGAATAAGTCTATTGAGTATACCTGGTAAAGTGTATGGTAGAGTTATTATTGAAAGAATTAAGAGTAAGACGGAGAGTAGGATAGCGGATGAGCAAGGAGGCTTTAGGAAAGGTAGAGGGTGTGTAGACCAAGTGTTTACAGTGAAACATAGGTGAACAGTATTTAGATAAGGCTAAAGAGGTTTTTGTGGCATTTATGGATTTGGAAAAGGCATATGACAGGGTGGAAAGGGGGGCAATGTGGCAGATGTTGCAGGTGTATGGTATAGGAGGTAGGTTACTGAAAGCAGTGAAGAGTTTTTATGAGGATAGTGAGGCTCAGGTTAGAGTATGTAGGAGAGAGGGAGATTCATTTCCCAGTAAAAGTAGGCCTTAGCCAAGGATGTGTGATGTCACAGTGGTTGTTCAATATTTTTATAGATGGGGTTGTAAGAGAAGTGAATGCGAGGGTCTTGGCAAGAGGTGTGGAGTTAAAAGATAAAGAATCAAACACAAAGTGGGAGTTGTCACAGTTGCTCTTTGCTGATGACACTGCTTTTGGGAGATTCTGAAGAGAAGTTGCAGAGGTTGGTGGATGAATTTGGTAGGGTAAGTAAAAGAAGAAAATTAAAAGTGAATATAGGAAAGAGTAAGGTGATGAGGATAACAAAAAGATTAGGTAATGAAAGTTTGGATATCAGAGTGGAGGGACAGTGTATGGAGGAGGTGAATGTATTCAGATATTTAGGAGTGGACGTGTCAGCAGATGGGTCTATGAAGGATGAGGTGAATCACAGAACTGATGAGGGAAAAAGGGCGAGTGGTGCACTTAGGAGTCTGTGGAGACAAACAACTTTGTCCATGGAAGCAAGGAGGGGATTGTATGCAAGTATAGTTATACCAACACTCTTATATGGGTGTGAAGCATGGGTGATCAATGTTACAATGAGAAGGCTGGAGGCAGTGGAGATGTCATGTCTGAGGGCAATGTGTGGTGTGAATATAACTCAGAGAATTCATAGTTTGGAAATTATGAGAAGGTGCGGGATTACCAAAACTATTATCCAAAGGGCTGAGGAGGGGTTGTTGAGGTGGTTTGGACATGTAAAGAGAATGGAACAAAACAGAATGACTTCGAGAGTGGAGGGAGGGCGGGGTTGGAGTCGGCCTAGGAAAGGTTGGAGGGAGGGGGTAAATGAGGCTTTGTGTGCGAGGGGCTTGGACTTCCAGCAAGCATGTGTGAGCATATTTGATATAAGTGAATGGAGACAATTTTTTTTTTTTTTATTATTATCACACTGGCCGATTCCCACCAAGGCAGGGTGGCCCGAAAAAGAAAAACTTTCACCATCATTCACTCCATCACTGTCTTGCCAGAAGGATGCTTTACACTACAGTTTTTAAACTGCAACATTAACACCCCTCCTTCAGAGTGCAGGCACTGTACTTCCCATCTCCAGGACTCAAGTCCGACCTGCCGGTTTCCCTGAACCCCTTCATAAATGTTACTTTGCTCACACTCCAACAGCACGTCAAGTATTAAAAACCATTTGTCTCCATTCACTCCTATCAAACACGCTCACGCATGCCTGCTGGAAGTCCAAGCCCCTCGCACACAAAACCTCCTCTACCCCCTCCCTCCAACCTTTCATAGGCCGACCCCTACCCCGCCTTCCTTCCACTACAGACTGATACACTCTTGAAGTCATTCTGTTTCGCTCCATTCTCTCTACATGTCCGAACCACCTCAACAACCCTTCCTCAGCCCTCTGGACAAATGGTTTTTAATACTTGACGTGCTGTCCGAGTGTGAGCAAAGTGACATTTAAGAAGGGATTCAGGGAAACCGGCAGGCCGGACTCGAGTCCTGGAGATGGGAAGTACAGTGTCTGCACTCTGAAGGAGGGGTGTTAATGTTGCAGTTGTATAACTAGTGTAAAGCACCCCTCTGGCAAGACAATGATAGGGCGAATGATGATGAAAGTTTTTCTTTTTTGGGCCACCCTGCCTTAATGGGAATCAGCCGATGTGTTAATAAAAAAAAAGCTTACCTCTTTCACAGCTCACTAATTCTGGTATAGATAAATATTCCAGGATCTTGTAAAGAACATCGTCTACAAGCATGTGAATGGTAGGACTGTCTGGATCAGGAAGGCTTAAATCAAAGTCACGATCAGGTAGAGGGCGACGCACAAAATCGTCATCCCCAGGCAGTGTAACTCGTTTTCTAGCTGGTTTAATGACCATTTGCTGTCCTTGTATGTAAAGATTTCCATACTTTAAGTTTAACAATCTGAAATGAAAGATTAAGTGCAACATAACCTTTTAAGGAAAATATTTAAAAAAAAAAAAAAAATCACTAAGTAATCAACTAACAGAACCTCTTCCACAGTATGGTTACCCCTACAAATTAAAAGTAGTTACATTTCTAGACGTCTTGTGAAAGTAGAAACGACAAATACAAAATTAAGTTGGCATAGCAAATTGTTTTGGATTTGGGTTATTTTCTGTTTCAGGGGCAACATTTCTTTGTCACTAACCTGGTTACTAATGACATTTCTATAAAATATTGACCAGAATAGTGAGATCTGGGAGTTCAAGTCACCAAGTCAATAAATAATTGATAACTAAATCAATTTGCTAGTTGCTCAACAAAAACATTGGATAATCAAAATCTGCAGGTATGGAAGTCTGCAAATTTTCTGAGCTAACAATATGCACCTTCAATTTTGTTGTTTCCACCTGTTTTCAGCCATTCACATATTGAAAAAGGACTGACAACTGATGACCACAGCCACTTACCTGGAGTTTACCTGGAGAGAGTTCTGGGGGTCAACGCCCCCGCGGCCCGGTCTGTGACCAGGCCTGGTGGATCAGAGCCTGATCAACCAGGCTGTTACTGCTGGCTGCACGCAAACCAATGTACGAGCCACAGCCCGGCTGGTCAGGTACCGACTTTAGGTGCTTGCCCAGTGCCAGCTTGAAGACTGCCAGGGGTCTATTGGTAATCCCCCTCATGTATGCTGGGAGGCAGTTGAACAGTCTCGGGCCCCTGACACTTATTGTATGGTCTCTTAATGTGCTAGTGACACCCCTGCTTTTCATTGGGGGGATGTTGCATCGTCTGCCAAGTCTTTTGCTTCAAACTAAAGCACTACAGAAGTAATTCATTGGTTTTGCTGAAAGTGAAAGATATGCTGACCACCACTCCTTAACTTCTTACATACCTATGCTTTCATGCATGACATTCCCAATGTAGCGAGATTTATCCTATTATCGCACATAAAGGTGAGGTAATATTTGCGAAGGGATTCAGGAAAATCGGTTAGTTGGACTAGTCCTGGAGGTGAGAAGTAGTGCCTGATCTCTGAAGGAGGGGTGGGAATACTGCAATTTGGAGGGGCATCTGAAATGTAGTATTGGCATGCCTTTTACAAGACAGATGTATACACCTTTTTGATGCTCCAACTGAAGGAACAAGGTTTTTCAAATCATTTGGAAAATCCGAGATTTCTGGTAGTGCCCTATGGAAGGGTTAAAATTAAATTGTGCGTAAATATAGCATCAAAACTTCATTTTCACTATCTGTAAAACAGCTTTTATAGTAAGTGACACCTATTTACCTTAAAGAACACTTACGTCTGCACATCTTCAGGATTTTCAACCGTGACAAAACCATATCCTTTACTTCGTCTTGTGTTCTTATCTTTGATGATGATAGCTTTCACCACCTTTACATAGTGTGATAATGCTGTGCTCAAATCCTTCTCGGTAATCTGAAAAAAAAAAAAAGCATATCAGAAATTAAACTATTACGGAACATGTCAGATGATTACAGAACTTATATTACAGATATAGTAAACATTTTCATAATTTAAAAGTACATGCCTGAAAAACAAGTGCCTTATGGAAGAATTATGGGTTGTGAAGAACATATGGAAAACATAGGGTTGCATTCTCAACATTTCACATTTGCCACTGAAATTCTTCAAAAAATTAATACAATATAGTTTACTTCATATTCTGTTAGTCGTCACTTGAAGCACTTTGAAGAACACAGGAAGGCAACACATGCCTATGTAGCAAAGTTGGATGTTACTGACACACTGGGTACATGTAGCTTTACATTTTTACATTGTTGACATTTCCTTACCAAGTTGAACAAAATATGTACTGACTTTTACACACACCCACACGTGCACACGCACACAAGAGTGTTACCAACTCTGGCTTTAACTCCAATTAATATTATGAGCCTGCAAATTTCTGTCTACCTCTCTAACCCTTTCACTGTGTCGTAGTTCTACGGGTTTGCAGTCTGTCCATGCCGTTGTTCTACACCATGAGCTCAGCTCACTCAGAAAAGCCTAGATGAGAGAATGGGTTCATGCAATAAGTGTGCACCATATAAAAATAGTACTGCCCCACGCAATGAATAATGGGGAAAAAACTGCAACCATGTTTTTGGTTTAAAATAGCGATTTTGCAGTATTTTTGGATGTTTTTTATGGTTGTATTCTGCGTCTTGATCTCATCTGATAGAATTGAAAATATATTACAGAAACAGAGATGACTGATTGTTTTCAATACTGAAAGTAGCTTGAAATTGAGCTCAAAATAGTGGGATGTTCAATTTTTGCCAATACTTGAGTAAATAAATCATCTCGCTTGCCCAACATGCATCCAATGGTTGGTCTAATATGCATTCACAAATGCACTGGCATTATTTATACAATTATTACAATAATGCATAAGAGTAAATCTTACTTTTTTGTGAATAAAAATTGTGTGTGAATCAATATTTAAAATGGAATTCACGTGGAAAGCCTGGGAATGCAACTAATAAACAGAGTAAATGTCATTTTAGTGCCAGGAATGCCTGCATTGTTTATTCTGGACACTATTTTGAACTGGGTAGTTGAAAAAGTTGGTTGGGTGGTTTCTTGTGCTCAACTGATAAAATGGAAGACATACTAGCAAAACAGCTAAGAATTTGGTCTACTGGAACAATGTAACTGGCCTAAAATAGGACTCAAAATGGGTAAAATCATCGATGCATAAATATGGCTGACACAGCAAAATTCACAAAAGTGTAATTTCATCAATTTTCCATCAAATTTCATACTTTTTGTTTTATTACCTTCATAAAGATTATCATTTCATTTGAAAAACTAAGAATTTTTTTTTTTAAATTCTTGGATGGTTTCAGATCAGGGGTCTGGACAATGATAGGGTTCATGTATACCTGAATAGTTGGTACCTTTACTCTGTACGATCTATGCATGAGCAGACAAAATCCCATTTAGTGAAACAAAGTACCATACTGTAATTAATGGCTACACCATGTGTTTCAGCCAAGCCAAAGCCGAATCAACTGTGAAATAACGTGCCTCCACCTCTTCTCTCAAATACGTTGATATGACTGGGGCAAGAGCTGGCAGAAGACTTGCTTCATTATAAGTCAAATAAATGCCACTTTGCACTGCTTAGCAAGCAAAGGGAACTTTTACAATAAGCAACGTGTTTGGAAAACCAACTGATATAAAGGCTGCACTCAGTTTAATTCCACTACAATTTTCTTATTTAAACACCTGCTCACCCTCCATTATCAATCACCACATGTTAACAAATGTGGAAATACTATTGACCAGTAGATATATCACAAAGGAATGTGTTACAATACGTAGTTTATGATAATGTATGACACTGATCTTTTTGTGGAATCTTGCTATTAATGCATTTAATATTCTTTAAAACTTTTTAAATACATGTGGGTGCTTTACATATATTAAGCAGTTTTAGGTAAAATTTTGGAAACCATTAGTTAGGTAAGAAAGTGTAATGGATAACCACTTACCCTTAGCAAGAAAAGTGGGAAGCTAGTTAGCACCACTCATGGCCTGGCAGTGTAAAAATCTATGGAAGGTAAGATAATTTTCATGTTTCACTGAGGCTTGTTTGGGTAATAGAAGTTTTATGTTACACAGAATTACAATACAAAATAACAGATAGTATAAAAAGAGTCCATCCAAAGTTTTCAAATTAGTGTAATAACTTACCCATCACCAGTTCACCATAGAAAGTCAACTAAACATTTTAAAATAAACTGAATAATTTAATATATATATTTTTATTTAAATGTAATGTAGAATACACATTTGAATACAACAGAGTATTCAATGGACCACAACTACTGTACTGTACTTATATACAAGTTCCATAAGAACAACAGTTTGTTCAAGTTCAATTCACTAAGAAAACATACATTTATAAATTCCAGGCACTAAAGTATTTCCTCTGTACATTAATCATGTCCTCATATCTCCTATATTAACATTTACTCTCCATTTTGAACTCATCACAAAAAATGAAAAGATTTACCCTATTTTTCAGATAAAAACATAACCAGGAATGTTTGGTCATGGTTTACAGGGGTCCCAATAACTGAATCTCGCCTAGTAAAAATGCATAAAACAAACCAGGGTGTAGGGGGCCATACCCACATTCAGGAAAATCGTCAAATATCAAATATTTCCACTACTTTCAACCCGATTTAAGGCTACTTCCGGTCTTGAAACCAACTAAAATTATCTCTATTTCAGTAGAGAAAAGAACATGCTGTGCCTTCTGGAGACCTTGAATCATCCATATATAAAGCCAGGTGTTAGGTATATAAGTATCCCTACAAAGTTCTAAAATCAGTTCATCTGTTCTGAAGGATTATTTAGCTCCCACTCAAAGGGAGATACAAACTGTAGGAAGTGTTCCCATTCTCCCCAAATTATGCATACTACTAGGTTGTCAAGCCCCCCCCCCCCCCCCCCCCGATTGAATTCTTCTCTCCAACTCGCTACTACTGGAAGTGGTTAAGATCAAAGATTATAAAACACAAAGTATCAGAACAAGTGATAGAAGGTAAGAAAAAAAAAAAAAAAAAAAATCAAGCATGTACAAAGAAAAATTACAATAAAATACATACTTACTCTGGGTCGTAAATTTCCAATGTACACTTTACAGGGTTCAATCATGTCCTTGGGTAATTCATCAACATTTCCAACACCATCTTGACTGCCTCTTCCTCTTCCTCTCCCTCTGAATCTGCCTCGACCTCTTCCTCGACCTCCTCGTGAATTTCCTCTTCCATCAATGCCTTTCCATTCTCTGAAGGCAGCTTCACTAGGATTCCCACTTGGAAACATTTTCCACATCTAACACAAGACACTGCAGTATTAACACTTGGTAAATAGAAAACTAAATCCTTTTGATCAAAATCTAAATTTGCACAACACGAATCCCTATTAGGTAGCAGGCCGATAGACAGCAACCACCCAGGGAGGTACACACTACCATCCTGTCAAATGAGTGTGAAATGGAAACCTGTAATTGTTTTACACAATGGTAGGATTGTTGGTGTCTTTTCTTTGTTTCATAAACACTTACTTTTCTTTTCATCTCGAAGGGGAAGCGGAAAAGAATCCTTCCTCTGTAAGCCATGCGTGTGATAAAGAGGCGACTAAAATGCTGGTAACAAAGGGCTAGTAACCCTTTCTCTTGCATAAATTACTAAATGTAAAAAGAAAAACTTTTGGTAAAAATTAGGGATCTACAATATTTTGCCAAAAATTAAATACTGTACATCAGTAAAATCTCAATTTAACTAAGAAGGGCAGAGTGGTGGTTGCTGAGGTGGATGATGACTGTTTTGTCCAAGTAACAATACAGACAATTCCAGAACAAGACTCTGTCAGTTACCCATCAACTGACAGAATTTCATTCCAGATTTCCAAAGCCCATTAAATCAAGGGTTTACTGTATACTGTGTGTTCAATGTGTCTTGTTATATTAGTACCACTGCAAGTTTAAGTCTGCCTGAAATGCTTTGTATAACTATGGGCTTTTGTATGTAAGAAATATTGTAATTTTATCTCTGTATTAATTTTATATTTATGGGGAAAATGCCAAACTCACAGGTGGTCATACAGCACTTAAGGATTTGTGAAGGGAGGCATTCAGACTGAATTCTAGTACGTAGAATGTAACCCAACATCAATAATATACAATACCAACATGAAGAATTAGACATGTATAACAACTGAGTATCTTTATTATGGAGACATTTTGTCAACCAGCAGCTTCATGAATACAGGGACAAACAGAAGATTGAAGGGGTAGCCGAGATAATCAGTCTCAACCTAGCAGCAGGTGTTCGGTACTGTAGTGTTGACGAATTTGAAGCACAGGCAGGAAAATGCGAGTTTATATAGTGGAGTCAAATGAAGAAGGCACTGTCACTGAGAGGCAGGATTTCCCAGTGGAAGGACATCATGCCCAAGAGTTGGGCCAGAGGTAATAAGTAGTTGTGATGTCCTCTATACCAAGATTCCATGGTGTTGATGTACCTGACAAGTACTGATGTTAGGATAATCATTAAACACAGCAACATCATGGAATCTCAGTACAGAGGACACTTCCATAACTACTTACTACCTCAAGCTATTTCTTTTTGCAGTATAAAAAAACATAATTTTACTTGTAATAAAATATTAAGCACAAAGAAAACTACTAGCATGGAGAGCACCTCTGGCAGCAGGTACCTGTGGCTTAGTTGACAATGCACTAAACTCACATACTGAATGTCCATGGTTTGATCCCTGGCATGGATGGTAACATTGGGCATGTTTCCCTACACCTGCTGTTCCTGTTCACCTAGCAGTAAGTAGATACCTGGGTGTTAGCTGCTTGTTGTGGGTTGCATCCTGGGGACTAGATTAAAAGACCCAAATGGAAATTAAGAAGAGTCCCTGATGACTCATTGATTTTATTGGGTTATCATGGATGGCTAACCTTCCAGGTTAAAAATCTGAACAAAATCACATCTTACCCAGTTGCTGAGCATGTGTCTATTCTTTAGGTAGACCCTAAGTCCAATTCCATTAACCAAGAGCCCTTCAAGTCTCAGAACCAGTGGAAATTTCAAGGGCCCTAATGGAAACAAGTCAGGGTTTTTTTTTGAGTTATCATAAGTAATTTACACATGTTGCTATGTATGATAGTGTACTTGTGTACCTGTACCTAAAATTAACTTGCTGTGTATGATAATTTGTGCTATTATAATCAAAACAAAGTGCTAAACCTACTAGTCACAGAGAATTGCTGATAATTTGTGTAACTATTTGTGTACCTGTAACTAAATAGGCTTACTTAAACCTCCCTTGTAACACACATTTGTACTTGGGAATTAGATTACTGGTATGTTGTTAAGAAGTTTCGGTTTACAAATACAAATTTTCATTTCCTTGCAAGTTTACATTGAGATTATGTAATTACAATAATTTTTTTTTATTTTAACAATAATGAGTTGCAGTGCCATGACATTATGGGCAGACTAAATTTAATGGTTACAGACTACTTAATACTAGAGAAATTTATCAGTTTTTTTTTTAAGTTGTACATCTGTTTTTATTTATAGCAGACAGTAAGTTTGCCTGGGATATTTTTTTCGTCCAGATATTAAATATTCTATTTTTGTGCACTTGGTCAATACTACGGAAAAAAAAAGTTAAATAACTACGTATTTCTGAAGGTTTGTGAAGTGCATCAACCAGTGTAATAAAGGAAAATAATTAAGTTTTGAAAATACTCTCTAAATGACTATTAGGCTCTAACAGGTTATTCGAATTTAGAAAATAATTAAGAATTTGTTAGGTAGTTCCATTCATGTTTTTAAGATTATTTCTCTCTCGAACTATATTTATGAATACAAGACAATGATAATTAAAATATAATGGTGTGTTTTGGAATATACATAGGCAGACAAGACGGATATCATTTAGAGTGAAAGAAAATTTAATCTTTTTTTTCCCTAACGTAGACCATTTGGGAATAAAATTGAATAAACAAACTTGAATCATGCATTAAGAAGCGGCAGAAAAAAACAAACTGGAGTTTTAGATGATGACAAAGAATGAAGGGAACACAGGCTGATGCACCACACCAGCAGGAAGGAGCATCATGCAGCAGACAAGTAAAAATAGACAGGACAAAACACACCATACTAACCAGAGTGGTGGTAGACACTGTCTCAGGGCCAGGCACCAGACCCTTGTTGCTCACCAGCACACAGTAGAGGCGGCACACTCGAGGGTTGGATCCTTCCACCACCCACCATCACTCTTATACCCGGCTGTATATACAGGATCACATCCCTTCTGGCTGCCCACCACCTCATGCAGTGATGCTCACTTCTTTACCGGTGTTTCTTTCTCCTCTGTTCCTGCAATCCTCTTCCACTTATACTTCTTCCTCCTGACTGCAACAAACATGTCAACATAAGGAATAAGAAAAATTGTTTCTAGCACGATAGATGTTAATATGTCGGTAGCAAAAAGAGTTCAGGTATGTTTCTTTTTCTGGATTAATTAAGTCACCCATTGAGATTATCCTAACATTTTGAACACCTAAAGTATTACGTCAAGTCATTTTACTGCTGATAGTCAAAGGATACTGCTGATAGTCAAAGGATACTGCTTATAGTCAAAGGATACTGCTGATAATCAAAGGATACTGCTTATAGTCAAAGGATACTGCTGATAGTCAAAGGATACTGCTTATAGTCAAAGGATACTGCTGATAGTCAAAGGATACTGCTTATAGTCAAAGGATACTGCTGATAGTCAAAGGATACTGCTGATAGTCAAAGGATACTGCTGATAGTCAAAGGATACTGCTGATAGTCAAAGGATACTGCTGATAGTCAAAGGATACTGCTGATAGTCAAAGGATACTGCTGATAGTCAAAGGATACTGCTGATAGTCAAAGGATACTGCTGATAGTCAAAGGATACTGCTGATAGTCAAAGGATACTGCTGATAGTCAAAGGATACTGCTGATAGTCAAAGGATACTGCTGATAGTCAAGTATGGTATCAAATACTGCTGATAGTCAAAGGATACTGCTGATAGTCAAAGGATACTGCTGATAGTCAAAGGATACTGCTGATAGTCAAAGGATACTGCTGATAGTCAAAGGATACTGCTGATAGTCAAAGGATACTGCTGATAGTCAAAGGATACTGCTGATAGTCAAAGGATACTGCTGATAGTCAAAGGATACTGCTGATAGTCAAAGGATACTGCTGATAGTCAAAGGATACTGCTGATAGTCAAAGGATACTGCTGATAGTCAAAGGATACTGCTGATAGTCAAAGGATACTGCTGATAGTCAAAGGATACTGCTGATAGTCAAAGGATACTGCTGATAGTCAAAGGACCCCAATGGAAATGAGTCCCAGGTTCTCTACACCTGCTGCTATGTATGATAATCTATGTGACTGTATTTGTGTATACCTGAATAAACTTAATATGTAACAATTTTATATAATTGGTATATTCATGTATTACTTTAAGGAAAACTTTCTTTGAATAGATGATATTTGTTACAATCCTTGCCTACATCTCTGATCAGGATCATCTAGACTCCTGTTTCGTCTCTTTTAGTGGCTATCATACTTTTTACTGTCCTCCCGTGATTGGAAACTCCCTAATCCTCGGGAGCCAGGAGATAGAGATCAGTATGTCTTGCACCTTGATGGCCTTTAGCAACCCAAACAACAATGGAAATAAGTCACTGACTTTTTTTGGGGTTATCCTAGGTAATTTAAACATATGTTACTTTGTATAATTGTACGTACAGTGGTACCTCAGGATATGAATTTTTTGTTGTTCCAGAAGGCTGTTCGAGTGCCGATACCAAACGAATTTGTTCCAATAAGAAATAATGTAAAACAGATTAATCTGTTTCAGACCCCTACAAATACAGTTACAAAAGTACTTACATAAATGCATTTACATAAATGTTCGGGTTTTGAGTTGTTCGTATCCCGAGGTACCACTGTATATGCACCCGTACCTAAATAAACTTAATAACAACTAGTCATAGAATGGGTGGGGCTCAAACCCATGGCAGGCAAATCTTAATCGCAGGCCAGTGTGTTAACCACTGGTCTGCGCTAGCCCAACAAGATTCATCCATATTTCTATACACCATAATGTTAGCAGGGGCCCCACTGACCAGAAATGCAGCTTTTTACAGAGGAATCCCACACCAGCATGGTTATAGCATGATCTAGCTCAAGTCCCCTTAAAGCTGCCATCATGACTCATGAAATCTTAATAACATGATTGCAAACAAATCACGGAACAGGTGGGGTTTAAACAACCCAGTAGTTAGCACACTGGCCTGCCAGTTTTAGAACTCATCTGTCACAGGTTTGAGCCCCACCTGTTCTTTGATTTGTTTCACAAGTAATAACAGTGGGTCAAATGGTATCACTGCCAGCATTGGTAGAGTATAGATGTGCTGCTCAAGGAGTAGAACACCTGGCTCTTCTGGTGTTTAGGCCTGAGTTCCACCTCATCTAGGTTGGGAACTTTTTATTCCCATTACTCTTTTTGGAAGAAACATTTGTTTCCTTTCTCATTCCTTTCCAGATTTAGGCAATACGTGTACTTTTTTTTCCTGGGCTCCAGGATGTAGGGCTCAATAAAATGTCAGTTTTGGTGGGCCTAAATAACCCCAACAACAACCCCCAGTACAAATTTTAAAGTAAGGAATACCTTCCAGTTTTACTGACTGCAGCTTTCATAAGATTTATTATATCATCTACAGTTGACTCCTGACATACATCATTGGAACTTACGCATTTCCTTATTCTGTATTAGTATTTATCCTTAACTGATAAGCACTTCCAAAATGCATATACCTATTAGGTATCTAAGGTTTAACTTTCATTTAAATTTTTTTTGAGTTTTGCATCTGATACTTTTCCTATATATACTGTGCAACTTTTCTGTGCTTTCCTAAAAAATGTTTCCCTATCTTCTTTTTTTTTTAACATAAGTCATCTCCCACAGAGGTAAAGTGATCATAAATAAGACGAAACACATTCACAATCATTCATTTGCTGTCTTCCCAGAAGCATGTTGATGTCACAGTTCAGAGAACCTTCTAAACTTTAACCTTCTCATGCATCCTTTAGAGTACAAGCGCAGTACTTCCCACCCCCAGGATTCGAGTCTTATGAAAGGGGGAAAATGGGACTTAGATGATATTTGTATCACAGTCTTGTACTTCACAACTTTTCTTTAAGGTTTTGTGTGGTACAGTAGGTTTTGTGTGGTACAGTAGGTTGGTAGACAGCAACCACCCAGGGAAGTACTACCGTCCTGCCAGATGACTGTGAAACAGAAACCTGTAACTGTTTTGCATGATGGTAGGATTGCTGGTGTATTTTTCTGTCTCATAAACACGCTAGATAACAGGGATATCTTGCTACTCCAACTTACACTTTGGTCACACTTCACAGACATGCACATGCATATATATATACATACATCTAGGTTTTTTCTCCTTTTTCTACATAGCTATTGTTCTTCTTTATTTCTTCTATTGTCCATGGGGAAGTGGAAAAGAATCTTTCCTCCGTGAGCCATGCGTGTCGTATGAGGCGACTAAGATGCCGGGAGCAATGGGCTAGTAACCCCTTCTCCTGTAGACATTTACTAAAAAAGAGAAGAAGAAAAACTTTATAAAACTGGGATGCTTGAATGTGCGTGGATGTAGTGCAGATGACAAGAAACAGATGATTGCTGATGTTATGAATGAAAAGAAGTTGGATGTCCTGGCCCTAAGCAAAACAAAGCTGAAGGGGGTAGGGGAGTTTCGGTGGGGGGAAATAAATGGGATTAAATCTGGAGTATCTGAGAGAGTTAGAGCAAAGGAAGGGGTAGCAGTAATGTTGAATGATCAGTTATGGAAGGAGAAAAGAGAATATGAATTACCTGGAGAGAGTTCCAGGGGTCAACGCCCCCGCGGCCCGGTCTGTGACCAGGCCTCCTGGTGGATCAGAACCTGATCAACCAGGCTGTTGCTGCTGGCTGCACGCAAACCAACGTACGAGCCACAGCCTGGCTGATCAGGAACTGACTTTAGGTGCTTGTCCAGTGCCAGCTTGAAGACTGCCAGGGGTCTGTTGGTAATCCCCCTTATGTGTGCTGGGAGGCAGTTGAACAGTCTCGGGCCAGTGACACTTATTGTATGGTCTCTTAACGTGCTAGTGATACCCCTGCTTTTCATTGGGGGGATGGTGCATCGTCTGCCAAGTCTTTTGCTTTCGTAGTGAGTGATTTTTGTGTGCAAGTTCGGTACTAGTCCCTCTAGGATTTTCCAGGTGTATATAATCATGTATCTCTCCCTCCTGCGTTCCAGGGAATACAGGTTTAGGAACCTCAAGCGCTCCCAATAATTTAATTAAATGCAAGAATTATGTGGATTAAAGTAAAGGTTGGATGCGAGAAGTGAGTCATAATAAGCGTGTATGCACCTGGAGAAGAGAGGAATGCAGAGGAGAGAGAGAGATTTTGGGAGACTTTAAGTGAATGTATAGGAGCCTTTGTGATGAATGGTTTGAAAAACCGACAAGTTGAAGATTGAGACACTTATGCAGCATATGGGAATCTTTATTCAGGAAACGTTTCGCCACACAGTGGCTTCATCAGTCCAATACAAAGAGGAAGGCGTAAGGAGAAGAGGAGTTGAGGTAATCAGTCCCTCAGCCTGGAGTCGATGTGTTCAGTCCATCATTCTACAAGATTGATGGACTGAACACATCGACTCCAGGCTGAGGGACTGATTACCTCATACTCCTCTTCTCCTTACGCCTTCCTCTTTGTATTGGACTGATGAAGCCACTGTGTGGCGAAACGTTTCCTGAATAAAGATTCCCATATGCTGCATAAGTGTCTCAATCTTCATAGGAGCCTTTGAACCAAGTGAGAGAGTAATTCTGGTAGGGGACCTGAATGCTAAAGTAGGAGAAACTTTTAGAGAGGGTGTGGTAGGTAAGTTTGGGGTGCCAGGTGTAAATGATAATGGGAGCCCTTTGATTGAACTTTGTATAGAAAGGGGTTTAGTTATAGGTAATACATAATTTAAAAAAAAGAGGATAAATAAGTATACAAGATATGATGTAGGGCGAAATGACAGTAGTTTGTTGGATTATGTATTGGTAGATAAAGGACTGTTGAGTAGACTTCAGGATGTACATGTTTATAGAGGGGCCACAGATATATCAGATCACTTTCTAGTTGTAGCTACACTGAGAGTAAAAGGTAGATGGGATACAAGGAGAATAGAAGCATCAGGGAAGAGAGAGGTGAAGGTTTATAAACTAAAAGAGGAGGCAGTTAGGGAAAGATATAAACAGCTATTGGAGGATAGATGGGCTAATGAGAGCATAGGCAATGGGGTAGGTTTAAAAATGTAGTGTTAGAGTGTTCAGCAGAAGTTTGTGGTTACAGGAAAGTGGGTGCGGAAGGGAAGAGGAGCGATTGGTGG